GGACAGGCTGCGCAGGGAAGTGGTTGAGTCACCATCCCTGGAAGTATTTAAAAGACGTGTAGATGAGGCGCTTAGGGACATGGTTTAGTAGGCATGGTGGTGCTGGGTTTGACGGTTGGACTCGATGATCTTAGAGGTCTTTTCCCACCTTAATGATTCTATGATTCTATGTGAAATAAGGACAGCACCTGCAAAACACAGAACTGGTTGGTTTTGCCTTTTCAAGAACTGAGTTGTCTTAAATATTTCATCATACGGATTTCTTTCAGATGAAACCCTAAAGGGTTTCTAGGAGCATTCAAGATCCTATAACTTTAATAGAAGTTATTATTTTTGGCGGTAATTGGCTGAAAACTGCCCCTCCCATTCTACTCACTACCAACTTACTGCAATATTGTCCCCAGCTCTTGGTGTCCACTCATGCCTGTGGCTCTTAGGCAAAAAAAAAAGGAGCCAGCTTCAGAGGTGCTGCACCCAAGGCATCACTAGAAGAGCAGCTCATAGGGCATTTTCAATTCCCCTGGGTTGGATGATGGTCCAAATGCAAAACATCTATTGGACAATTGTTATTCCTCTACTACCTTATCCTAGGATGACCCAGAGGTCTACCTCATCTCAGCTGTATGTGATTGCCATGTCTACAGTCTCCTCTTTTTGACTTGCTTCCTGTTCGTAGGTGCAGCAATAGGAGTAGGATGAGAAACACCATCTACAAAGGCTGCTGACTGGTTTCAGTGCAAAAGAGTTGTGCTCCTGACGCACAGTGTTACATGGGATGGGATTCAGCTGCCTTCTCTTAAGCAGCTAAAAGTGAGCCACACATCTGGGCTCCTCTCTTTCGGTTTCCCCTGTAATGTCTGCAGGGAAAGACACCCTTCAAGAGGGTGACCTCTACCTCCTAGGGCAGTGGGAGGAATCACCCTCTGAATACAAGTCTCTCGTTTCACTGACTACAAAGGCATCAAGTTCCACATTTTCTACCTGGGCAACATTTTCCAAGCAGAAAAAGAGGAGGTGCCTGGGGCTCAAGGACAGCCCCACCATAAAGTTTCTGGTCTAGAGGAGCCACCATGGAAACATATTTCTGCCCAGGGTGATGTCCCTCCTTACTTTTTTTTCCTACAAAAAGCATCCTGAGATATTTTATGGTGCAAATGGGATTGTCAGCTGATTGCTGCACTAGTGTGCTGTGCGGAAAGGCAGTGTCTTGTGCTGGATTTATCTCCTATATACATCTGCATTTTTTTTTATGTGTGTCAAGCACTCCTGGAGCCTGGATGGGCTTTCTCTGGCAGAACATTTGGAACAGACAGGGAATCTAAATAAACAAGTAAATCCTCACTGTGATGATGAAGGATTACATGTTTCTTTCCATCTTACTTTGTAGTATTTTCAACAACTGAAAGTAGGGGAGGGAGCCCACTTTGATGATTAACATTTCATTTGCTTTGGAAACCCCCAGCAGCCAAAAACCATGGCCAGTCAACACAAACACAGCAACTGCTTTCAGTCCCCATAAGCTCTTGTTTCTTGTGCGGAAGTACTGCAAGGCTTTGCTAAAAGGCAAATGCTTGCCCCGACCATCCTCTCACTAGGGCTCTTTTATAAATGCATGCTAGGGAGACTGGGAGCTCACAGATAGAGGGACAGAAATTGCACTGAAGAGGAGGGAATTTGGTTTTGATCACAGCTCATTCCAAGTGCTATTTGAAAACAGCCAGCACCTCTTGGCTTTTGTGTTTGCCAAACCCTTGCAAAACTTCAAGCAGAACACTTCTTGAATTTAAATCCCTGCAAAGGAGAGCACTGAGTTAGGAAAAGACATTTGTTGGGAAGACAGGAGGTGGAAACTCTACTTCATGAGGGATTTCTTGCATTTTCCACTGATGCAGTGATAGGCATGGCATACGACAGAGTCCAGTGTGGAGGAACAAACAATTCATGCAGCTGAAGTGTGAGGTTGTGCAAACCCAATCGTGTCTCATCTGTCTGGGCTGGCTGGTGAGGGAATGGTAATGTCTGATGGCAAACATCAGGGATGGCATTAGCCTCATCCCAGAGGCACTCCCAAACCTTTTGAGCTTGGTCCTCTGTCAGCTTTACAGAGCCACTCAGAAACTTCTCAAACACCATCAAAAAGCCAGCCAACTCATTTGCTTATGCTGTTCCTCTTCCAGGTCTTCACTCTCCAGTCTGAAACCCATGGTTTAGTGCTTAAATTATCTGGAGATATCCAGAGAGATCACTGGCACAACACAGTTATAAAAAACTGAGGTAGTGTCAGATGTGCACAGCTTTGCTTACCAACACGGCAGCTGATAGGAAGAGCCTAGCTTGACAATTGGATGCCTGCCTGCAATCGCAGGACTACCAGCCGAAGAATAAACTCTTTTCTCCTTCTGCATGGGGGAAAATAACAAGGTGGGGTTCTTACATTCTCATCAGCTGGTTACAAACAGCATTTTTCACAAAGCTCTGCAGTGGGGATGATGTTTAAATGTGAGTGCTGTCCTACCCTTGCTGTTACTGCTAGGGCTGTGGTTCACATGGGTGCAACCAAGTTATTTTTAAACTGGTGCTGAGAACCGTGTAACTGCGACAGCTAGGAGCTCAGCACAGCCTGTATAACTAACCCAGCTGCTGAACAAATAGGTGAGAAGTTAACCAGCCCTCGGTCCGTGTTGCTACTTGAATACTTCTTGTTTACAGCCAGATGAGATATCCCTGCATTGCACAGTCATTCCTATGGAGCATATCTACAGACAGGAATTTCACACCCCATTTTGTCTGGTCTCATGCACTCATAAATGTGCACACTTTGCACTTGATGACCATCAAGATCAGACCTTAGTCCAAAGGCATTGCTAAAAGCTACAGAGAACTGGATTTTGTTTCTGGAAATGGCCTGTGCTCCCATTCCCCACCACAGCTTCCCATGTCAGGTACACTAGAGAAGGTAGGTTGGGGGGGAGGTTTATGCAATATTTAAGGGATAATGAAATCTCCATCCAGCAAGGTAAGTCACTGAGGACCCAGTTCCACTTGGTGCCACTGACGGAAAGGATGGGAAAGGATGGATAGCTGACAACTCCTATTCCCACAAGGTATCAACAGCAGACAGTTAAGCAACAGCTCTGAAATGCCACACTTAGCATGGCATTCATGCCCATAGACATGGGGGAAATGGAGAGAAGGACCAGGAAATGGCTCCTCAGAAAAACTTATGGGTTACTTTTCTGTTTCCTTCAAAAGTTACATTCTCTAGTGACCCACATTTCACAAGAGTTGTTTGTTCTGGAGATCTCTGTCTGCTTGTTCCACAGTTTTTTTAGCAAGGCATCCTCAGCAGTGGTTAAACTCGAGTCCAGAGCAGTACCAGGAGATGTAACAAGAAAGGTAGCACA